AGCAAGGGATTGAAGTTGGTGCGGCTTGTCAATGTTGTATATATGTATTGGCTGGGAATCCTTTCTGTGGGTAGGTATATCAAGGACTTGGAAAGTAGCCAGTTGGTAGGTATACGCAAAGGATAGGATGGTGTAGGTTAGGTATCTTATTATTTTTGTGTTGGAATTCATCAATTGTGATTCTGTCTTGACTTTGGGAATTGGGCGCAGATGGGCGGGTGGATTTGTGATGGTAGAGATACACGAGAAGAAGTGATGGCGTAGGAATGAACTATACCTAGGTACTCATGTCTTCACATGAGAGGTATGTTTCATTCGTAATAATCTAACTGGTAAAGTAAATCTTCATCATATTCTCATTGTCTCATCTCATCTTTTCATAAGCTTGTTTCTCATTCCACGATACCTAGGTAGGTAAGTAAATAGATACAAAAATATCGAGATCCCAAGTATGATATTTCAAACAGAGAGTACCTACCTATTCTCAGTATCTCGATATACATTGTAACTTAATTATTCTTGATGATTGTTCCTGATAAATTTCAACGTCGGGTTGAGTTGAGAAATAATGAAGTTTACAGATCCATCAACATTTAAGATTCATCTGGACAATCTTGAAGATGAAAAGATACCTAGGTAGCTAGCAATCCTTACATCCATACCAAGTCGGCGACGTACCCTTCACTGACTAACCTATTCTTATCCCACCATTAATAAGCTTACCCTCATTGTTATTGGTTTTTTGACAATCCAACTATCCAACTATCCATAGTCCAATCCCAACTCTCCAATCCATCGAATCACTCACTACACAACCCAACCCAACCATCCAAATAAGTACCCACCAATCCCCAGCCCGCATCCCGCATCCCGCATCCCGCATCCCACCACCCGGTCAGCGGGCATCTCGGGGACCATTCATCCACACAATAGATTCCCGGGACTGGGCTGCGGCATATAAATGAACATCCGAAGACTTGGATTGGAAAGTTGAAAGTCGGGATGAGATTTGGAGTACGGACGGAGGGGTTTCGAAAATTACTTCTTTGAGCTTGGTGCGAGGAGTGAGATGTGCAACAAAGAATCTTAGCTGCCTACCTAGGTACCTAAGTAGTTCTTGATTGTTATGTTTTGACGAATGGGGAGGACGTGGTGGTGGTGGTGGTGGTAGGAAGGGGGGAGGGTTGTTTTAGGGTTTGAGGGGCAGGGGAGAGAAAGTATGATGTGAGAGCTATGGGAATGCTCGCTTTCCTTTGGGGGGGGTTCCGATGGGTAAGGGGATACGATAGTTTCAGAGCGGGGTGAGTTGGGATAAAAAGTGGCGGTCTGATTCGTCTCGAAAGCTGCTGCTTCTGTTCCGGAGACCGAGGGTTGGGGGTGGTTTTTTTTTGTTTTTTTTTTCCGGATCAACAGTTTTGAATCGAAGAACGGCGAAGAAAAGATCTGTGGAGTGAGTAAGATGATTGATTTTCTCTGTCTTGAACCTGAACTTAAATTTGCTGCTGGATGGGTATCTGGGTAAAGATATCTAATTTGGGTTTGTGAGAATGTACTATATATGTGTGTGTGTATACAGATGATGTATAATGAGATGAGATGAGAGGAGGTGGGATAAGGTGAGAACAAAGGGGTGGGTATTCATATCTCTCATTGTACGATGTTTAGATGATGATAAGTAGGTAGTCACCTTCTATCTGGACTTATTTTGGTGGATATGTATATATTAACCCATACCTATGTAGGTAGGCAGGTAGGCATGTAAGTATCTTAATGGTACATTAATCATACATGCAACGAAGTTCAAAACCCCCTCCAAAATCCATACGCACATTCGAAAACAGAAATAGAAGAAATCATTTGGAATCTTCAAGCCCAATACAGAATAGCTGGTAAAAATCAGCTTGCTATCGCTGAGATTGGAATGTACCTTGTGGGTTGAATGGGGGAGTTAAATGAGGAGTTATTGATGGGCATATGGAAGAAGAGGCAGGAGAGCCGGATGGATGGGTTATGGAGAGGTTGGTTATGGGATGATACGGCTTTTTGTATGTATGTGATAGGTTGAGATTTTGGGGAATGAGAAATGGATTGAGAGAGGCGATAGGAGGAAGGAGGGAGATGATGAATGGGTGGGAAGGGGGTTAACGGATGTGGGCCGATATGTGAAGGGTTGCGAGTTAGGAGTCAGCATCTTTTATATTGGAGAAGACACGATGAAAGAATAGATGGTAGGGATTTTTTTGGGATGGTCTCTAAGAGGTGAGCGGATTTTCTTGTATGTATGTATGTATGTATGTATGTATGTATGTATGTGTGAGTGTGTGTGTATTTCTTACATAATTCTCTGCGGGAGGGTTAATTCAACACTGCATTCCAATTATAAAGAGAAAATTCCCGGATGATAGGTCTGATATCTTAGATACTCCATAAGCCCTTCCTTTTTTTCTTTGGATGATCATATCATTCTAACTGATGAGTTTGTTGATGTCGTGTGTATTCAGCATTTAGATTAAACCCTCAGAAGGTTGCATCATGTTTGCATTGTGTCTAATTCAATGTATTCTAGAAACAATGATTGGATGGAAGAGGAAGATGAAGAGGAATTGAAAAAGATAACAATGATATGGCATGATGAAACTCGAGAATCTGTTCTATCTTACGGATTTCCAAAGATGTTGATGATGAGAATGAGAATGATGAGATGGAATATAAAGAGTGTATCAGTATTAACCATTGTTGGAGGTGAAGATCATTATAGAGAGGGGGATTGAGTATGTGAGGAGTTTAAAGAGTATAATGCGCTCAAGAGAAAACATAGTTTTTTACGAAGAGAAAGGGGCAAAGAGAAAAATGAAAAGAACCGAGGATACAAGTAGAATATCAAGAATCGGAAAGGCAAAAAACAAGAACAAAAAAACAGACAAGTAAATAGAAGGGAAGATACAGGATACGAAATACGAAATAATAAATAAAGAGAAGGAAAATTCCATAAGAGACCCGAAGACAAAAAGAAGAAACCTGAGTGGGACTGAAGGAAAAATGTAGAATACAAATAAACACACATACACCCCTCTGACTTCAAGATCTCAAACCCCAAGCGAATATATAAAAAAACACCTCTCCCTACCTATCCTCGTCCAAACTAGTAATTTAAAGAATCACCAGAGACTTCTCACTGCGATCCAGTCTTGAAATTCTGCACAAAACTCAACCCAGAGACAGGATATCAAAATACACATATACGAATATCGCATCACCATTCTTCACGAGAAGCACAATTTCCCATACTCTGATCAAGATCTATCCATCTTCTTCCTATATACACATCCAGAATAAATAGATAATCATCCGATCAAAACCACACCCGACTCCGTACATATTAAAACTCTCTATCATACAAGTATATCTATCTCAATATACCCGATAACCCAAACAATATTCTCACTCTGACCCAGAACCCCAGAATTCAATACAAGACGATTCACAAGAGACAAACTACAATACGACGAACAGATACCCAAAAAACCATTTATTCATTCAAATACATAACTACATCTTCACCAGAATACAAACGAAACCGAAAATGATTCCCTCCAATGACACCACAACATATCATCCCTCTTCATCAGCATCCAACAATTTCAGACGATCTCGATATTTATTATTACTCAGAAAGAGACTTCTCCATCTGCAACGTTAACTCACAAATTCCTTTCTTTACTTGAGTGAATCACCTCCTATCAAGTTCCTTTTACAGCTCCGCTTAATCGTACAATATCAAAATTGAAATCCAATCTTTGTCACAAAGAAGAAGGAATTAAAGTAACAATAATATATCACTCCGGAACCGAATCAATTATCAATTATTGGTTAATACAGAAATATAGATAGCACTTTAGAATCTACAATCCTTAAAACTATCACCGAGATATAAATCCTGATTTATGATATGTTGGGAAGGTTTAGAGAGTAGGTATACCACCAAAATAAGCTGCCCCTCTATCACTCAATCGCTAATCAACCCCTCCCCCTCCCCCTCCCTCCAAATCATAACATAATACCCTACCTGTCCCACCAATCACCAATCACCAATCTCCAAACCTAAAAAATACCCTCACTTTCTCTCCTCCTTCCAAACCCCCCCAAGAAAAATCACCATTTTCATCCATCTCATCCCCCATCTCCCATCCCCCATCTCACCCCCAAAAAAATCCACACATCACACACCCCCAGTACGCCACCAAAAAAAATAGCAAAAAAAAGCAAAAAGAAATTTGACCTACGCAGGGATCGAACCTGCAATCTCTTGATTCGTAGTCAAGCGCCTTGCCATTGGGCCAGCAGGCCTGATTCATCTGAGCGATGAAGAGTGTTTGATGAAGAAGCTGACAAGTTTAGTGTATATACAGAAATTTTATATTAGAGTGAAAGAATTTTTCCTAGAGAGGGGTTGTGTCGGGTGGGGCGGGGTAATTGGGTTTCCGGTGAGGGCGTATCTTTATTTTGTCATTATTTGTTGGTGAGATTTAGAATTGGTTGTCGAGATAATGAGTACCTGGTAGGTAAATGTGATATGGATTTTTTATATTCTTTTCCGCATCTGGTAAAGGTATTTCACGAGTATACTATGCGATTATCTATATAGATTTGAGTGATGAGACCAGGGTTAATTTGTCGTTCACATGCGATATCTATGAGATTGTGTCGAATTTTGTTTATCTTGTGTAGAGGAGAGAGTATGGGAACTGGGAAGATTTGCTAATCAGTATCAGACGAGGGGAAGGGGGAATCGAGCTGTATGATCTGTGATATTCATTATCATTAGGGAGATCTATTGGTAGCAATGACGGAAATGTAGCAGGTAAAAGGTTTCTCGATTTCTACCAATAATTACTTCATATAATTATTTCATCTAATGCTTGAAATCAAAGGATATCCAGGATCCGAAAACACACAGCATTGAAATTTCTCAGATCATGATGTATTCAAAGACCTCGGCCTTCCAAGTGAACGTAATATCAATATCAATATCATATCATATCATACTCTACATAGCAGCTATACAACTATACAGCTTCAAAAACCCACCCATTGAGATTTTCATTCCTCCCTTCTACGCCAATCTTAGAATTTTCATTATCAAAGATAATGACTTAACCAAACGCCATGTCCACAGTTGTACAAATTTCATTCCTTTGCCATTTTAATTGCAATTAAAGACTTCCACCAGGCATCAATTTTGTTCCACTCTTTTTGATTTCTTCTTTCCTCTCTTGCATCTCTCGCATCAATTTGGCTTGTTCTTCTATCTTACCACTACGCTTCTTGCGTGCGGCTTCTTCGGCTTCGACCCAGACTGTGGAAGCAGATTAGTATGTTTCTTTTGATTTTCAAGTGTAAATGTATTTCGTAAAAACCCTCATGTGTCTCCCCTTGTAGTTTTTCTTTGATGTCTCTGGAAATCTTCTATATCCTAATTCCCATCTCTCCGCAGCTTCCGCCTTCAACCGAACAATCCAAGAAACAAACTTACTCGGTTTATCACTCTTACTATATTCCTTCAATCTTGCCACGAAGTTATCGAAATCCTCTTGTTTCCCTACTCGATTCTCCAAACTGCGCTTCTGTAATTCTGGATTATATTTCAGGAAGAGTTCTTCTTCGGTTGGAGAAACGTAGTAGATCAGAGCTGGACCGCCGACACAACATGTCAAGCCTCTAATGACAGAGGAATTAGTACTTTGTTCTTCTTTTGGAAAGGGGGACAATGGGAAAGTTGTGGGAAGAAATTGAGAACGAGAGAGGAAGGGATAGGAAGGGAAACATACGCAACAGCCATCTTGCCATACATGCGCCAGTTAGTGGGTTTTGGTGGCATCTTTGCTTTTGTTTTAATTCAATATATTCTTGTTCCTTGGGTATAAAAATCAAAAATTTAGGTCGGTAATTGTAATATCTGAGATGTTTTCGGCGATGAAGTCAAACGTTGATAATTTGATCAATGACATGATGATTTTCGGTTCAAAGCTGGGATCATCTGCAGAGCTTGTTGTGGCTTAGGTTTGCTTTTTAATGGAGATTGTGGCTGTGGTGGCGTAAGGAAAGACAAATTGGAGAAGAGTGATTTCATCAGTTTTTAGTTGATGTGATTGGGTTATGGGGGAACTGGGATGAGACGGAAATGAGAAGAGCAAGAGAAGAGCATGAGCATGAACATGAGCATGGCTGGATCATTCCCGGACATGAGGTTATATTGAATGGAGCATTGCATTGAGGATGCTTACTGAATGAGACTATAGGTGGTGCTGATGATGCTCTTTTACTCAATACTTCTCCCAACAATCAATACTCACCACTCGGGTAGAATGATCAGGAATATATCCAGATCCAGACCTACTTCTTATATTTTAATATGGCAACTGTCGGCAGTCAAGATAGTACAGTAAGTATCTACCTCGAAAATGCCATAAATACCTGAAACATCCCACGCATTGATATCTATCTCTCTGCATTCATCAAGTTCGGATGGCCAAGACATCTAATGATGTACGTCGTAATGCTGTTACAGAATGACTCTCTATCCAAAGCCCAGTTCAGTTCAAGCACGTCAACCTCCTTGTCCTCTTCATCAATTTCATTCATCCATCTTGAATTGATGAATGATGAATGATGATTGATGATTGATGATTGATGATTGATGACGAAGGTTTAAAGACACAAGCCCCTTGATCTCAGCTGAACTCAATAACATCACAAGATCCAAGATCTTTTATATCTTATGTAAACTTGGTCTCTGAACGCCATGTTTCTCATATCTTCTCTGATACAGTGGATCTTATGAATCTCGTGGAGCAAGCATCAACATGCTGGTTACAATGCGATAGCCAATCATTCTTCGTTCGGACCTGACTCCAATTATGGCTGCTGGTGAGTGATGATGGGAAAGTTAAACTCCCTTGTCATATGTGTAACGCGCGAGAAATTGTTCAAAGGGTTTAAGTTGCATGCATATGAATGATAGAACGATTATTAGATTAAATTTCCCATTTTATAATGCTCTGTACGGTGTATGCGATTAGGTGACTGATGATATTATCAGATATATTACCAAGGGACTATCCGAATAATGACTTTTCCCCCTTTTCACCTGAGACGAACTTAACTTTCGCATGAACATAACATTGTCAACACCAGAAGAACCGAGTAATGCTCTTATAACTTTGATAGCCAGAAGCCAAGAGTCCAAAGAAGTCGGAACATCGGAATCTTCAAAGTTAGTTACTGAAAATAGACTCCATACATTGCAACAAGAACCAACCATAACCAACAACATTCAAGAAGCTTAAGAAGCTTCTCAGTCTACCAGTGGTCGTGTTATTGTGGTTCCATTTCGCGACAGACAAGCCGAGCAATAGACGACAAATAAAGAAGAATCAAAATACTCGCCAACAAATCGAATTATCTGACCGAGATAACATCCCATCACCAAATTCATATCACACATCTCATCTCGTATACTGCGTATTGATTGATCCCATCCCCATTCACCTTATTAGCGCCCCTGCCCTCCTACCCTGCCCTGCCTCGCCCCCACTCCGCATTCTCTGAGACAACCACCCAAGCCGACCAGCCGTCTTCAACATTGAAAACCGTCTTCACAATTCACAACTAACTAATAACATTACGCATTCTTTTTGTATTCTTCACCATAGGAAGTTCATAATCGACAGAGGCCCTCACTCAAGTCTTCTCTCCTATCTTCTTTTACATTCATACAAGTACTGCTTTTCGTGCGAACAAATACCGAGACAATCCTCAAACTTGAGTCGCGTTGTGGAGTTATAACAACATTTCCTACCTGGAACGAAGTGAACCAATTCCCGAAACATTGATTGATCAACCCTTTACAACAGCGATAGTCTCAATTCTTTGATTGCAGACCGAGTTTTCAAGCTTATTTAATTTTTGGATTACGAAAACATAGATTTTTCGAGGGATTGGTTTCCATGGATTGATCGTTGTAGTGTTATTACAATTTGTTAAGATTTTGCGCCAAAGAACTCGAGGGCAAGGGCAATCGAGGTTGGATCGAATAAGAAGGAGAGGCACGAAGAGGAAATCATGACATATGATCAGGGGTACCAGCAACAGTCACAGAGGCCATATAATGGACGAGCCGCCCAAAGACCGGGTCCAGCACAAGGATATCAGCAAGCTCCCGCACAGCAATATTCACAACAACAATATGATGGCTATGGTCAAGAGGGTTATGGATATGAGAATTACGATAATGGATATGGGCAAGATTACAATGCTGGGTATCAGGATATGAATGGCGGAGGCAGAGGAAATATGAATGGGGGGGGTTATGGAAATGTGAATGGAGGGGGGAGAGGTGGTTATGCTCCAAATGCGCAGGGACGTGAAAGGGGGTATCCTCCAAACTCTAATGGAGAAGGTAGAGGTTATCCACCAAATCAGAATTATCCTCCACAACAAGAACAATTTGCGAATGGCAGAGGTGGGATGCCACCCAGAGGAGGTGGACCTGCTCCAAATGGTAGAGGTGGACCAATGCAAAGGCCTCCTCCAAACCGTGTTGGGCATGGAGGACCACAGGGAGGTGGGTATCCTCCAAATAATGGTCCTGTGAATGGAAATGGTAGACCAATGGATGACCGTATGAGACCTGCACCAGGACGTGAGTGGAAGAAAGTCGTATGAAGTGAATGCTTAGGTTGACTTGATTTTTAGAACAACGACCTCGGAAACCTTTAGTGACACCTCCTAAATCTCCAGAAGCTGGAACATCATCTTTTGATAGCCCTTTTCCTTCATTTCCAGGAGCAAAGAAAAAGACAGCAATGTCCACAGAACAGGAAATTACCAAAGGATTGGGTGCAATAGATATTTCGAGTCCTCCACAGAAAAGGCCCGGAACTGCTGGAAGTAGAGGAAGTCATGATAACTTTGGACCGAAGAGGGGTATGTCCACTGATGACTATGGCCGACCTTCAATGGACAGTCAAGGGAGTGCACCAAGAGGAGGATATCCACCTCAAGGGATACCAGATCAACGAAGAGGTCTACCACCAAGGAGTATGACTCAAGGTCCACCCAGACAAGATTTTTCAGAGAGAGGCGGTCCACCTCCAGGACAAGGATATGGCGGTGCACCTAGACAGAATGGTTATGGAGATCGTGGTTATGATCAATATGGAAACCCCATGTCACCAATTCGAGATGATCGAGAAAATTTTAGTTCTCCACAACGAAGCATGACTTCGCCAGATAATCCTGGACCCATGGGAAATGCTCCTCCAACTTCTTCAATTGAAGCTCCAGGGTTGAGTGCGCCATATAATGGGCCTATTGGACGTAGTATGCCTGTTAGACCTGCTACAGCAACCGGATCAAGGCCACCACCACAAAGAACATACCCAAGCCAACAATCTGTTCAACCACATCCACCCCCACCTCAACAGCAATACCAGCAGGATAGTTATCAAGGTAATCCTTACGCTGATCAAAATCCGGATGAAAGTCTTGGTCAGTTTTATGATGCATATTATGAAGCTCCACCTCCACCTCCTATACATAATCATACGGCGGAAATGCCAGATTTTGATGCGGCTCCACAGAGAATTCTACATAGAAGAGGTACCTCGATTGAAGCCCATATTCAACCTGGAGCAGGTGGACCTGGGCCTGGATTTGATCTCATGGAAAGGAATGGCAACCTGCGTCAAGTCAAACCTGTAAAATCTCAACCGGACTTCAGAGCTCAAGCCCAAGCTCAAACGGCAATTTTTGAAATGGCAGGGGATGCGCCACCAATTCCTAACATGCCACAGCAAGGTTATCAAGATGGCTGGGGACAACAAGATACCCAATATAACCAATATCAAGGCATGCCACAAGATCAAGTGTACGACCCATATCCTCCTCAAGCACCAAAGTTTCAACCACCGCCAAGGAGTATGTCTGCAGCCCCCGGAGCTGGTCGTGGAATGCCACAATCTGAATTTGGAGGGTATCCGAATGGCCCTTCGCCCCAGAATGGCGGTTACCCTGGTCCACAGAATGGAGGCTTTCAAGGCAGTCGTCAAAATAGTCTACAAAAGCAAGGCACCCCAGAAGGGGGCTTACCTCCTCATGCTCCTCCTGTTCGAGCTGGTCTAATACCTAACTCTTTCGCTCAACAACAACAAAATATTAAACCGCCACCCATGCGCAATTATGGGGGCTTTAATCCTTCACCTCAATCGAATACTCCGATACCAGTATCCAATGGTTCCTCCCCTGCAGGCCCTACTCCAACCAAAGCTCCAGCACAACCAGTAACTCAGGCCGAGCTAGATCGTCTGAGATTAAAGTATAAAAATGGTAATCCAAATGATCACGAGACTCCTCTACTTTTCGTGAAGAAATTGGTCGAGGCTTCGGATGTTTTAGTTGCGCCTCTTGCTGATCAACGAGCACGCAATAAAGCAAGGGAAAAGTATGTATTTGAAGCTACCAAAGTCCTTAAGAAATTGAGAGAAGCTCAACACCCAGATGCAATGTTCTATTTTGCAGATTGTTATGGTCGTGGTGCGTTGGGGCTTGAAGTCAACGAGAAGGAAGCATTTACCCTCTACCAATCTGCCGCAAAGCTTAATCACCCACAAGCTGCATATAGAACTGCAGTTTGTTGTGAACTTGGCAACGAGGAGGGAGGTGGTACTCGCAAAGATCCTCTCAAAGCTATCCAATGGTACAGACGCGCTGCCACTCTTGGAGATACCCCTGCCATGTATAAAATGGGTATGATTCAACTAAAAGGACTTCTGGGTCAACCAATAAACCCTGGCGAAGCCGTTGTTTGGCTTAAACGAGCTGCTGAACGCGCAGATCCTGAAAATCCCCACGCTTTACACGAATTAGGCCTCCTATACGAAGCACCACAAGGTCAAAATACATCTCTCGTACGCGATGAAGCATATGCCTTCCAGCTTTTTCAACAAGCGGCTAATCTCGGTTATAAATTCTCACAATTCCGCCTGGGCCAAGCTTTCGAGTATGGTCAATTCAATTGCCCAATTGATGCTAGGCAGTCTATTTTGTGGTATTCTAAAGCAGCGGTTCAGGAGGAACATCAAAGTGAATTGGCACTTAGTGGTTGGTATTTGACGGGCCACGAAAACATCTTGCAACAGAGTGATACGGAGGCCTATCTGTGGGCGAGAAAGGCAGCAATGGCAAAATTAGCTAAGGCTGAATATGCTATGGGTTATTATTGTGAGGAGGGTATTGGTACGCCAAAGAGTTTGGAAGATGCTAAGAGGTGGTATTGGAGAGCTGCTGGTAGGTTTCTTTTATTTTCTCTTTCATCACAGCTCCCTGTTCTTCTTTTCTTTTCTCTGGGATAATTCTTGAGAGTTGATGGCTGATAAACTATGTAGCCCAAAATTTCCCAAAGGCTCGTGAAAAGCTCGAAGAACTTAAACGAAATGGTGGAAAGCAGAGTAACAAGGGCAGAGAAAGGATCTCGAGATCTAAAGGGGCTAATCAGAAGAATAATGAGGAATGTTCCGTTATGTAGACGGAAGTATTTTCTCTTTCCATTCGGTTAGAGGATGGAACCGTGCAATGTAGATATGGAGAGGGTGACAGGACTGGCTGATGCTCGGAAGAGAGAATGGGATATGAGAATGGATGAAGATGATAACATGGGCGAGGTAACGAAATGGTGGATTATTGCAATAATATCAGGATTTTGGCATGGCATTCGGAGCATATTTGGATGGATCTTGAGATGATTAGAAAGATGGGAATTTTTGGGCGTTGGATATGTTTGGAAAGGAACGGCTGGATGGATTAGGGCAATATGATGCATAAATCTGACTGGATTACTAGCTAGATAAATGTGTATATGTATTTTGCTGGCTTTGTATGGGATATGCACGTGTAGTGGAGGGGTGGGTGAAGGAAGTGTATTTGGTGCAGTGGAGGAGGGAGAAGATGAAGAAAGATAGGAGTGGAGGTCAAATGTATGTACAAATGTACAGTACCATGATGAGAAATCGAATAAATCGAATAAAAATTCTACAACTATACAATCATGTAATCACATAATCATTGCAGAGGCCTTGTCATATAGCCTTCGCTAGACGAAAGGTGGTATGGAGCCGAGATGAGGTGAGATAGACAAGCGACTTTTCTCGCCAAATCAGACGCCCCTCCCTATTACACCAGTTCAACATAGCACAAAGTATCATGAACACAACCACGAAGTAACAGGGAAAGAAAGTAAGAATTTTCGAATTGATAAAACTTAGGTATAGTAATGTACAATTCCAGCTCTCCTCTTCCATCCTTCACACTCATCCACGCTAAAGCTATCTATAATGAACTACTGATTAATTCATCGAAATTTACTTTACCCCCCTTTCATATACCTCAGAATGTAGATTTCGCATTGTATGGCAGCGCATTGCAAGAAGAAGAAAAAAAAGAAAAGGCGAATAAGAAAGAAGCCTCGCACCAAGGAAATTCTCTGTACTACGTTTTGTTCAATTCTGGTTTTCTTCGTCTACCTATTCGCTAGGACGAACGAAAGGTGGAAAAGAAAGTTCGCAAATTTGCTCTTTTTGGAACTTTAGTATGCACTTGTTTTCAGTTCTCTACGAGGAGTTCCTTTGGCTATCCATGGGGGAAGAGCTATTCTCCTATGTCATATCTTTCTCGCGAGTTATAAATTTATGATTTGATAGCATTCTCGACCTTTCCCTTAACTTCGTGGCCGACCTCTGCTGCTTTATCGGTGAGGGATTTGTTCTTTTCGCTGCGTTGATGGAGAAGGATACGGGTGACTTGGACGACACCGACCATGCCGAGGAAGAAGTTGACGGTTGCGAGGCTTTGGATTTATTAGTTCTGAGTGCAATAATGCAAAGATAATGAATTTCAAGGAGGATTGGAAGAAGTGAACATACAGAATGTTTCTTGGCTTGATGATTAAACACCATCGAGTCCAGATGATACCAGTGGCAGTGAGGGCAGCATTCTGGGTGAGAGAGAGCTTCTCGGCGGGACGAGCAAGATCTGAGATACCGGCTAAGACGAGTGCCCACTGATTGAGGCATTAGTTATTGATCAACTGCTTTGAAAGGGTGACTTGGAGCGAGGAAGTGGGTTGTGTGCGGGGAGTCTTTGGGAGCTTGGAAGTAACCCGAATCTGATAGATAAATGAACCCTGGGGGATGTGATAAGGAATCTGTATACCTTCATGACAGGAGCCCTGTGTTTAACATTGTTAGCTTTTGTTCATTTCTTTGGTAATGTGCTTTGCAATATGCAATTCCCAGTATCTCCAAATACTATCGTTTCTCTTCTACGTGAAATTCCCCCATTAAACATATGCACTTTCCTCCTGGCATACCCTTCCCCTCATCCCATTTCCCACCGACTAGCTCACATACAGTCCAATTCATAAAGGAAAGAAAAACAACTAAAACCTACCAGAAATGGACAGTCTTCACACCAATCGGACTATCCCACATTTTCTTGAACCAACTGACTTGCGCAGTCGCAGTGGCAGCAGCAGCCTCTGTACTTTGAAATCTCTTTGCTTGCTTTCCCGCAAAACGAGTTCGTGCAAATGCATTTCTGAATGTGGAGTATTGGCGCGCAGACGAGGCGTTGGAAGTGAAGAAACGAGATGCGGCGCTGCTGGAAGAAGAAGTCGAGGAAACGAATTTGTTGATAGAGGTTGGGTTGAAGCGCAGAGCGCGGGTGAGGGTGGAGGGGGACATGATGGTTATGTGCGAGGTGGTGAGGTGGTAAGGTGTGAGGTTGTTGATGGTATGGATTGGGGTATTTGAAGTAGACGGATGGAAATAACTGTTGCTATGCCGGAGTTTAGTATTCGTTATACATCATTTATCCGTTCTATATATTCTCAAAGCAAGCTTCACTTTTCTCCCGTCTTGTTTTTATATACTAAAATTCGAATAGAAAATAAGATAAATACCAGAGAACAATTACTTACAATTCAATCTTTTAATTTTGATTTAATTCAAATCTTCACTTATTAAATCAACCAAATCCGAATATCCGACTCTCTGGCTCGTCAAACTTTGTTGAACACTTTCTGTTGTGCCTTGATGTCGGAGTCCGTCCGGAGGGTGGCACGGGTGGCTAGTGAAATTATGTCTGTTCATAAGTGTTGTGGCTGAATTCAACGGAAAAACAATTGTCAGAAGTACAAATTTACGGGAACCACTGTGGACTTGTAACGCAATATCAATATCCGGGATAGCTTCACTTTGAGCTTGTAATTGCGACGAACCATTGACTTTCCAAAATTCGAAACTGTATTGCGCCGACAAACAAAAGAGACTATAGACAAGAAATTGCTCAGAAAGCAAAGAAAAGATATCTACCAATATGTCGGCCAAATACGCATTCTCGCAGACCTTGAAGGAGGTCAGGTTTTTATTTTGTCAGACCGGGGTTCATAGTGATGCTACTAGGTATGATTTATTCTCATATTCTCATACTCTGTCCACATTTTCACCGCGCAGATTCCTTTCTCCGTCGGCCTCTCTATGCTATCTACCAGGTTTCCTGCAGCAAAGCTAGATCTGATAAACCCCGCTCTAGATCATTTCTCGCAAGAACATACCCAACGATGAAAAAGCACAACCCAAACACACCAATAATGTTGAGAGAGGCGGCTGGCACACAACCAAAGGTTTACGCAAGATATGAGTTTGGAAGGGAGGTCAGTGAGGATTTGGCTGGTAGGTTATTTTCGGTTTTTGTGTTATGTGGTTTACAGTATATGGTCTATTGGGTATGGGTATGTGTATGGGTATGAGTATGGGCTTTGGAGGAATTTTCGGCTTGGGGGGAAACATTCGAAAGGGCCAGATGGGAGGTGGAACGATAGGGCAATTTGAATGGAGTGCGGATGAGAGAAGGAGGGAAAGAGTCAAAGATGGGTATGAGGGGAACTGCAGCGGGCGGAGCGAAACGAAGAGGAGATGACTATGAATTGAAGATGCAGATGGGAACCCAGGGCCTGAGAACCGGAAGAAATGAGGGAGCATGTGGAAGAGAGGGAGTACAATGCTTGGACAGAAGACAAATGCTAACACAAACCCGTACAGGACTATCGGATAAAGAAATCGAGGACAAGGTCACAGGCTTAGTCCAGCAATAAGCAGGATGTCACGAATGAAGTTACAGGTACAGATCTGTCAAAATTGGAGTCATAAATGGAAGTCTTCAAGTCGCTATAGAAGGTGAAGACAAAGGGTCGTTGTACATATCCCATGAAGAGAAGATGAAGATAAAGCTTCGAAAGGAGGTGCGAAAATAAGCACCATGTTATGAACTCATGATTTTGAGATGTCTTGAGAAGAAAGGAATATTTGTGATATATGAAGAATTTCTATTCGTGGTACATGAAATGGAGTCGGACGAATGTGATATAAGTATATCCCTATTCTGTCCAGATTGAGTCTTCAAAAACAACTGATTCTCCCATTTTGCTAAATATCCCTCATGCATTCCCTACTACTCGGAATACCAAGCCATTGTGCATCTCCACTGGTCTTTTGCAGCATCTCACATATCACATCCTATACTAATCGATTACAAGTAGAGGTAGGTATTCACGTAAGACTCTAGGCCGACGCGTCATTCTTAAATCCCCTTTCCGTTCCGAAAATCCACCCACATGACACATACATAACAAACTTTCAATCTGATATTCATCTATTTTGCTTAATACAGCATGCATGTATGTACATACCGATATCGCATGCTGAGGGCCCAGTATCGGAGACTGCTCGAAAGGGTAGTCAGCGATGGCTTGTGCTCTAAGTCGACCACCCTACTTTTGAGCCACCCCTGTTTTGGGCCACCCTTTTACACCAAAAATCACTTTTTTGGCTTATCAATATCTCCATCAATATTGAATATAATGTTTCAAGTATGACTCTCTACAGGGAATAATATGGGAAGCATAGGGTAGAAAGTAATAGCATTAGGAGGACTAGCGTACGTTGTATAGTGTAGCAAGTCTGAAGGGAAGAGCTCTGTATAGGACAGAGCTCTTACTAACACTAATTGGGACTAGCTCACCCTGCTCTAGCATCACGTGAACCATACCTTTCAACATATAATTTAATAAAAATTTATATTTATATAATTCAAGTCATTTTGGATTTATATTAGAATCTTTAGAATTTTAGGATTTTTTTGGATTGAGATCTAGAGCTTCAAAATATCGATTTTCGAATTTATATAGAAATCATATACAAATTTAAAACTTTTATATAATCTTTAATAATTTTTTAACAATAATAATTAAAAGAAAATTGTTATCACGGTGCAAGAGATAGATACTAGGTTAGATATATAATATTCTACAAGGAGGTTAAAGGTAGTGCTATGTAAGTGTGTCATATATAGGCAAAGATGACTAAGCATCTACTACGCTAGTGAACCCGTGACAATTGTATATATTTTTGAAATTTCCAAATCTGAATCTATAACGTGTTTTATCACCGAGTGGATCATATCACCAAGCGGATCATTTGAAAATACACCAAAACTAGCAATTTTTAAATATTCTTATTTTAATAACTAATCATTATTTTCGAAAAGTAAAAGGATTTAAAATAATAATAAAAGTTCAGTTTCTTAGAAATCTAGTTTTTATATAAATATTTCTATTATATTTAATAAAAAATTGAAAATATTATGATTTTCATTACAAAAAAACTATTTCTATAATAATTCTTATATTAATTCGAATTTTAGGAAAAAAATTAGGTTTTTATAATACCTTAATAATTAAATTTTATATATTCAATTTTTAAAAAATTCTATTGATAAATAAAGAAAGTGTATGGTTATGTATAAACGAATTTTGTATATAAATTAAGTGATCCATTTGGTGATATGATTTACTTGGTGATAAAACACGTTATAAAAATTCAAAAAAAAATTATAAAAAATGAATAGATATAGAGATATTGTAAGCGAAACCTTGTACTGGTCACGTAGCCTATTCTTGTAGCTAGTATTTATAGTCCTTCTTCCTGTAGTTTAGAAACGTTAGTCAGTTCCCACTCAACTTCTAGTACGTCTTGTGAAGCGCTATGTAGAGCCTTCCCCTCCTCTCCTTTATCTGAGGCATTATATTATAGTGACTTTTCTGTAGTATATGTGAAGAACTACTCTATGACTCTACTACCTTCTACTCTTTTATAATATTGTTGGTATCACCATGGGGATGGTGAAGACAATATAGTACTATGGTTCACACTGTTGTAATATTGCTTAAGGTTCTAAAAGCTAGGGCTACAATACGTCTATACTTAAGTGCCGAGGCACTAGCGCAAGCGCTAGTGCGGTCACATGATCCCTGTCCCGACAAATATAATATAACGTGGTTTATCATCGAGTGGACTATATCATCAAATGAGCCATTTCAAAATACACCAAAATTAAGGCTTTTTGAATATTCATATTTTAATAATTAATTATTATTTTAGAAAAAGAAAAAAAGATTAAATAATAATAAAAGATTAGTTTTCTAAAAATCTAGTTTTTATATAAATATTTTCATTTTATATTAAAAAAAGTGAAAATTGTTACGATTTTCGTTACAAAAAAATATTCCTAATAATAATTCTTATATTAATTTGAATTTCTAATAAATAATGAGATTTTTGTAGTATTTATATAATTAAATTTCATAATTTTAATTTTTAAAAAATTCTATCAATAAATAAAGAAAATGCATGATTATATACAGACGAATTTTGTATGTAAAAATGATAGTCTACTTAATGATATGATCCATTCGATGATAAATCACGTTATAGTGAGTTTAGGATAGTATAAATAATCCCTGCAATTTTGAGAGTACTTCTTTTAATATTTATTTATAAGGAATTTTCTATTTTTTTAGAATATTTCAAAATAAATATATTATAAATATATTATAAATTTTTATAATTTATTTTTAGCTATTCCTTCTTAAAAGTTATTATAGATTTTATAAAGTTTCAAATTTGTATGTGATTTGGATACAAATTGAAAATCGATATTTTGAAGTCTCAGAAATCGATTTACAAAAATCTTAAAAATCTGAAATTTTTAGAACAAGATTGAAATAACTTGAATTATATATATATAGATTTTTATTAAATTATATTCAATATCAATAGAGATATTAATAAATTAAAAAAGTGATTTTTGGTGTAAAAGGGTGGCCCGAAAGTGGGGTATCCGACTTATATTCGGAGGCTAGAAATTGTTGAGCTTAACCGTTTAGTAACTTCGAGGTATTTGCATCATTCGATCTTACGCATGCATGTGATTGGGATAAAAGATAGAAAAGCATCATTAGAATAAGAACTAGACAACGCTCATATACAACGTTCAGAGTAGAGATCTATATAGTATTCTCCTCTATCCATTTCTATATAGCCAGTCTAACCATCTAATCTATAACTCATGCTCAAATCTCGCTCCAAATCATATGTGTATGTGTATTAGTATTTTATTAATTCCTCCATCCGTCAAGCGTCTACAACTTGCTCAAAACAGCCTCAGCTCCGGAAACAGTGACCTCTCCCTTTCCAGGCTCCTTCTCTGCATATACAATCTTTCCGTTGTCGATGATGAGAGCGTAGCGGCCGGTACGTTCACCATCGGTCCAGCCGAGGAGTTTGGAGAAGGCACATTGGTTGTCGGAGAGGAAGAGCTGGAGGAGGAAGATTAGCAAGGCTCTTGAAGGATTAAGAAAGGAAAGAGGGGGATGGTAGGGTTATAGGAAGAGAAGTGGGAGTTTACATACAATATCCTCATTGTGAATTCCATTTGCCTTTCCCCATGCGCTCATAACGAAAGGATCATTGTAAGCAATGGTAGCTACGACATCGACGCCCTTCTCGCGGAGAGCAGGGAGATTGGCAATGTAGCCTGGTAAATGCGATGCGCTGCAGGTAGGGGTGAATGCACCGGGGAGGGAGAAGATGACGACTTTCTTGTTGGCCCATTCTATGCATGATTAGTGAGGAGGAAAGGAAAGGTGTGGGAGAGATTCATGGCTCTACGTACCCTTGGATGCGTTGTAGATAATTGGCATTCCGCATGCTTTGATATCTGCGTTTTCGGGGGTAGGTGGGATCCAGCCAAACTTGACGCCCTCTGGGAGGGAGTCACCGAGCTTCAAGGTTGCTTCAGACATTTTGAGATATGGATATGTGAGGGCTTGTGTGTTCTGTTTGAGTATGTGATTGCTTGAATGCAAAGGTAAGATGATATTGTAGAGGATGAGAATAGAAAGAGGAAGGTAGCAACGAGACTGTCTCTCTCTTCAATATATAAATACTTCTCCCGCAACCCCCTACCTATCCAGGTAGGCACCTGTAACCTGATACCGCACCCGTAGTCGGAGACACATCAATTGATTCATCGCTCCACCCCACCACTAGCTTCCTTCTAGAATATCCCATTTCACCCCACTACAAGCCTGATTCCTGTTTTTGATTGGCTGATTGCTGCAGAAAAGGTATCCATTCATACTTTCGATTTCTCATATTTATTGGGAACTCGATATCGTCCCTTGTCGACCTTATTGCTGGGCTCGCTAGGTTGACCGGTAGTAACCCTGAGCTAGACCATGGTTGATTTCAAAAGATATGGTGTGTTTACAAATTACGTCAGACTGCTTGCATAATCACGAGGTTCTAGATTTCAAGCTATTTAGTACTCGAAAGAGTATTATTACAATATATTCGAGTAAAATCTAACATTTCAGAATACAGATAACGGTTGTTGAAATTTTAGATATATCATTTGTATAAAATATATAGTTGGGATTCAAAGAAATAACATGTTTACAAATTATATTATACTGTTTGTATAATCTATCACAGATCGGCCTCAATCACAATGCGATCGCTCATGTGTACGATCACGTGTACACAGCCAGTACAAAACGCTCCGCTCCCTATTCTGCAGTTATAGATTCTAAGGATAAATTGTACCCTGATTCGCAGTTCTTTTAAGGCAAAGTGTCACACTATCTAAGTTAAAAGCATATTTAATATACAGTAATCTAGTTACATAAAAACATTTGTTTTTCTAAACCTTCAAGCATTCAACACCTTCCACAACTACTCCATCTGCTAAGACTGCTTTGAGACAATTGGTTGTACTAAGATTGACTAAGGTGAAAAATAAGGTTAGTAAATAAGCTTCATGTGATTCATGGATGAAGATGAAGGTACTAATCGGGGGCTGGGGCAGTAAGGACTTTAACACTGCTGCTCATAAGAGCGAGAATGGAGAGGATGGTGGTGAGCTGGAACTGCATTTTGATACATTTTTCGTATAGTATGAGGAAGGTATGTTGCCTTGAGTTGAATACGTGAATGTGTTTGATTGAGCATATGGTTGTTGTTTGTAGATTATCCGATGTCGAATCTGAAAGTCCCGCTCTTGATCGGCTCGAGATCACCATTGTCAAAGACGATGCAGTTCTGGTTGTTTTTGTCATTGTCTTCCTATTCGCATATTTCATTGCTTCAGTTCAGTTCTTGATGTTGATATGGTGTCAAGGAGCTGCCTCCTCTGGCTATCGCGTACCTGCTATTCTGTACTGTAAGTTCCCTGAGCAGAGATGGAGAGGGAGTGCACCAGCTGAGACCAACGACTTCGTTGGACCACCATCGGATGCATTTTAGAGGGCATAGCTAGATTTGGTCCTGTGTAAGTATATTACAATATTTTTATATTAGGATATTATGAAATTAAATCCCTTAATCTGCAAATTTAACAAACTTTATTCAAATTTCATATAAGAAAATAATAATAATAAAAAAAAACCCAAAGCATTTAATGAAGATAGATAAAGGTATATATATAGAATCGCTCGGATATTATCACAAGTTACACTATCTGATAAAAGGATAGAAAATAATTAGTAAAGCTTTGCTAACTGTAAGTTAGCGTGACCTAAAACTATATTTCTACACAAAATATTACTATCCCATAATTGAATTAAACCCCACCAAAAAATAATATGAAGCCATGTATCTTGATCTTAGCCAATTACAAACCTAATCATTTTAATGGTATATTAAGCTAATATTTTATAGATCATTGTATGGATACAATTAGGCAATTCATTATTTGCTTTGAAAATACTGCTCTTTATAATTTTCAATATAAGCATAATGACACAGAAAAGCTATGTATAAAAACAAACTCGGAGTGTTTCTATGTATTTTGATGATTTGGAAGCATGGGATTTGGAAAGAGAAGCTGGGCTTTTATCAGAGCTGATTGAATCTGAGTGAGAATACTAGTAGAAACACTAGTAGTGATGCACGTAAAGGTCGGCGATTGTGGTAGGCAATTTCTGATAATATAAATATACTGTGCACGTGATCTGAAAGAAGTTCAATTTTTGAGAGAATTCGTAGAGAGTTCTTGAAATAGATTTCATAAAAGTTCTATAATCATAGTTGTAGATAAGACAAACATAGATCAATATATGCAAGTAGATGGTAGTTGCTCAGGGTTCAATGTTACGCTTATCAAATTGAAGGCACACTCGAGGCACAGTCCACACCGAGTGTGTAAGGCTGCGGCACATGCAAAGAGTATAGCAGGGGTTTCCACGAGTGAATGAAGCCGCACGCACTGCAACGCACCATCAACAGTTGTGGCAACAGAGGTCCTGCAAGCATAGGTAAGTGAATAGAACGCAGAAGACCTGCATGTTGCCTTGCCTTACGGCTGCATACCTCCTTGGTCGAAGCTCTTGTAATTAGCGGTCGAGCTTTATACCGAAGAGGTCTAATTTATAAGATCCCAAATGTTCTTAGACTTCTTAAGAGCATATCATCCGGCACAACCTCGCGAGACATAAAAAATCAAACACAACAACAAACTGACTTCTCAATACTATTCTTAATCATAAAATAGCCCTACAGTTATCAAAAATTATTAACACAGTCGACTTTACTGAAATGGTCAAAGTCGAGCACAGAGCTTATGTTATATTAGCAAATAATTTATAGGAAATTCTCAAAGATTTTAATATTAATAAATATGCTAAACAACAATAGGCTTAGTATATAAACATCTCAAATAGTTACTGGCTTATTATAAAAAATGGAAATAAGGTAATTAATAGTGTTAAATAGATTGTTTATAAGATCAATCTATTTGAAAAACCACAGCCAATTATGAAAGCCATTTGATGGTTAGAAGGTATAATGTAATTATACTTAACAACCCCAGACTATTATGGATACTAATTACACATTTAAATGCAGGCTTATTGAAGATAATTTCCAACAATTTCTTCAAGACATTCTTTAGAGATTGTTCTTTAGTTATAAATCGCCCATATTTGCATGAGTATCCCTTTTTGTACATATTTTTATAATATTAAATAAATACTTATTCGGTTTGACAATATTAGTCTTAAATTATTGCTTTGTAGATTTAGAGCATTGTTGTAAAGGAGTAGATAGCTTGATAATACAATGGGGTTGTAAGCTCATTAATAAAAAAGGATTTAAAGTTTTTATAGAATCTATTGATAATAAATATAAATTATACAAAACCTATAGATTCATTATAATTTGTTTTTTTTTCCTTGAAATATTATTTGTTATAAAGAATAATAAAAAGAAGTTTATAGAATTAAAAAAAACTATTATTTTTAAGCTATATCGTATTTGGCTTATATAAAAATCCAAAAATAAGAAGTTTGAGAAAAGGAAAACTATATATTCATAGAAGAATTAAATACTAATATATACTAGAAACAGTAAATGGTATTAGTAGTGGCATAATCCTATACTATTAGCTCAATTAATTAGCTCAATTACTGGGAGTTACAAATATCGAATCGTTATTATTGATATGCCTTTCGTACTTGAAATGCGTGGTGATAGATGTGATAATTGATGGGCTGTACTTATTGCGAGCGGTCCTAAATGGCTAGACCGCGAAATTCACGTCATCACGTGTATCGCCTTTTCAAATTGATGGTCCTTTCGAGTAAGACCTGAGATTTCAGGATATGCAGAATAGATTAGGTTCTGGATATATCACTTATACAGAGTCGAGAGAGTATACGAAGTACATGCAGTAAATCTCACGTAGAACAGGCACTTGAATATTTTCCGGAATTCACAATTGAGGGCGGTTCTTACGGGATTCGGGAGATTTTTTGGTCTGATGGGAAGGAGACCGGGATTTCGGTGATTGAAACGAACATGTTCATTACATTTCTTGATTGGTTTGTTTGTTTGAGGTTATTCGCGGATAAGAATGCTGGAGGATTCGTATAGCTTGGAGAGGTATCGATGACAATCATCTGCGGATATCGTTTTCCGCAATGACTGTTGCAATGAGTGAATAGAGATGGCTGTAAAAGGAATAGATATATAATTCGTGGTTGGAATGCAACAGTAATCAATTGTGCATACACTCGTACAAAGAACTTCAACTTTCGCCTCATCTCATCTCATCTCGTCTCGTCTCGTCTCGTCTGATATTCAGATATTTTATTCATCTCCAACAACCAAAGCGATTCATTCTCGCCGTACAATCATAACCAATGGCAACAACCAAACCACTCGTCCCACCTTTCACCGAGGAGACCGCTCGTATCAAGGTTAAAGCTGCACAGGATGTATGGAACACAAAGTACGCACTCATTGTTCCTCTCACATAGTCATCAGCGTATCATTAATAAAACATAGAGATCCCCAAGTAGTAAAGAATGCCTATACCGAAGATTCTATCTGGAGAAACCGCGATACATTTATCCGCGGCCAAGATGAAATCGTCGAATTTCTGAGCAAGAAGTGGGCAAAGGAGAATGGATACAGATTGAGGAAAGAGTTATTTGCATTTACGAAAAACAAGGTATGTTTTCTGATATTGTATGAAGGGAGTGCTAATGAGATGTGTATAGATAGCAGTACAATTCTGGTATGAGTTTCATGATGAGGATGGTCAGTGGTGGAGATGCTATGGACTTGAGGATTGGACGTTCGCGGAAGATGGGAGAATGAGGAAGAGGCAGATGAGTGGGAATGATGTTAAGATTGGAGATGAGGAGAGGTGGTTTAAAGAGGGCGTGGATGTTAATGAAGTTGAGATTTCAGAAAAACATTGGTGAGGTGATGGTGTGTAGTTTGTGGTTACACTGTTTGTGTGGTGTACCGAGGAAAAGAGTGTAATCACAATTGACACACAATGTATAATCGTTTACCTCAAATTTTTTATTATGGCTCTTCTTTAAGATATTGATCTTCATTCATTAATATATTATAATATACTCCAGACATAGTTCCGAGTGCCTAGGGTTCAATGCCAGCATCTAATTTACTTTTATCCCGTGTCTCTCATCTTATCAATTTCATCAATTCGACATTTTCAGGTCTTTCAGTTGTTCAATTTTTGCCTAGAAAGTTGGTATCTGCAACCTATTATTAATGGTACTGTTGGACACCTTCATTACAGAGAGGCCAGTTCACATCTCCTCAAAGTGGGCTCCCTTCAATGTTAACTGCAAGTCTCTCAATTCTAGCTCGATCCCTCAATGTATAGCATACACATATATACGACCGTCCCGTCAGTCGAGCTTTGTCAATCTGATCTGGATCTCCATCAAGCTTGTAAAGTTCCACAGGGAGGGATTAAAGATCCATCGTGAAAGTCTGATAAACGAGTTAAGCCGCATTGATTGGTTTGTCTATTCTAAATAGAATGTCAAATTTTGGATATTTCGCGCCGGGAGCATTCTCGCCTATTAAAACCTTTTATGGTGACCTCGCTCCCGTTTTCGCTTGTACCTTACTGATCGCTCGGCTTCGCGCCGAACCTCTCAACAAAGTTAGAGGTTTTCCGCGAAGATTGCAAGTTTTTACCATTTAACAGGGATACAAAGTTGTTTGAAAGGAACGAAACGTCAAATTCGGATCTACGTCCTAGTGCCACGTGCTTTGTAGATAATCGCGTCGGGGGTGGAGTACCAAGATGAACCTCGATCGCACATCTAGTCAAGGTCGGATTGTAGACAAGTAGTGGCTCTCACTGGTCATTGGCCAATTGTTAAAGCAGAAAGTCGTATATCGGGAGCCCCGCCCGCAAATTGCATCGTTGAAAATTGCAAGTGAAGCCTAATCAGGTACTTTGTGGAGCTCGGATCGAGGCAAGAGAAGCTAGGCTCGCTAGGTTTTCCGCACGTCCTACACTGTCATGGCATCTGTCCTGACCACGGGCTGTCGATAATCTAACAACGTACTCGAAAATTAGCTTCCATGTACTCAATCCTACGAACGGTTCTCAGAGCAAGAAGGATGATGCTTGCAGTTGGAACTCGAGCCTGGAGCGGCAACCGACCTTCATATGCGTAAAGTTGCAAAAGGCTGATGGTCTAAGTGGACATCTACTACTCATGTACTCGTCTAAAGAAGCCCCGAAAGCAGGATATATGTCAAGATACAGGACTGTCTCTCTTTTATTTCTTTCACTGATTATAAACCCTTTTCATTCGCCCACATTGATGTGTAGTTGCTCAGTCATCCTGATACATAGATTGAGTTCAATCACCAGCGTACCTTCCTTCCAAGCTTTTAACGCCTTCTATTCTGATATTAACATCCTTCTTACCCTTGATTCTCACGATCTTTCCCTAAATCACTAGTGTTTTATATCCTTTTAACAAATTATTGTTTTCTTGTTTCACAACTTCAACCATATAAATTGGAGTACTTTTTGGTACTCATAACCTGCAATCATGTCGGGCCTCATACCTTACCTAGGGGAGGTTTTCTCAAACGTCAACTATCATCGTCCCGAGTACAGAACCTCATATTCCAGTTCAGAAAAATCTTCAAGAGACTCCAGCATGGATATATCTCGGACGCACTCGAAAGGTTCTAGCAAATTCTCTCAAGGCATTCCGGATGCTCTTACATTTGACAAAATTATCAATGGTGGAACATGTCCTGTAAGGTCAAGCTCTATTATATTTCCATGGGCAATTCTGTTTTGATTATTTGACGGAACAACCGACTCGACATGTTCCGGTCATGACTGATTACAGTGCCTGTATCACTTACACTCAATGCCTCATCACATTGCTGACCACTTATTTTTAGCCAATGACCGTGAGAGAATTTATGAACTATCTCGAGTTTATTGAGCATGCCCCAGAGAATCTTCAGTTCTTCCTCTGGTTCCGAGATTACACATCTCGTTTCGAAAATTCAAACCGTTCCAATCCCTTCTCAACTCCACCCGCAACAGCCTCTTCAGAACGTCAGGTTTCTGGTTCATCTGAATATCATAATGATTCGGCGGTTGGCTTTGATGATGCTGCGGATGATAAGCGGCCAATGACTACCCATACCATCAAAACAACAATGAATTCTCCGCCACAGGTTACGGCTCCTTGGGAGACAGGTTTTGATAAAGAAGGGGGATCCTTAATGGAAGTTCGACCAGCAGCACAAGATTCATACCGTTCGATTACCCAGCAAACATTTAGTCGTGCTGGTATTCAAATTCCAGGTAATTTGATGGAACCCTTTGCTCCGCAAATTAAAGCTTACCCCATGACCAGATATTAATCTACCTTATCGTGATGAGATTGATCGAATCGTCGCCATATATATTGCAGATAATGGCTCTCGTCAACTCAATCTATCTTCACGTCAAAGAAGTACTCTTCTTGAGCGTCTCTCAACCACAACTCATCCTTCTGCCTTCCAACCCATTGTCGAAACCGTTGAATCTAGCTTGAGACATCAAGCACACCCTAATTTTATTCGTTGGAGTATTTGCAATGGCAACAAACCACGTCAAGTGTTTGCTAAGGGTCTCGGTGTCGCTCTTATTATTTTCGGCTTCCTGTACGCAATTCTTACAACCCTCAGTAATATGTCCCGAGGATGGCGTGCATTTTCGGCATTATTCTGGGTCCTGGGGATTTCTACACTGTATGCAGCATTCAGAGGGATGTGTGTTGTACTACATGGCCTTCATCATCGCCATCTTCGACCTTGGGAGTTATGGGAGTCTGAGGACTCTGCCATGTATCTGGACGATAAATCTTGTAGCGGAAAGGACGAAGAGTATCCATGGGTCAAGAAATATGAGAAGAGATTTTTAATCAGAAAAATATTTGATCGAGAGGTTTGGGTACAGGAGCCGGCATTGCGACAGATACAAGATATAATTTTCCTGCAATCTTTACTTATCGGTACCGGTGTAGCTGTCGTCTTGATGGTCATCTTCTTGGCTGTTCCAGGGGGTGGCCTCTTCTAAGCGGGATAGAGAGCAGAGCAACGATATACAATAAATAATAGCATTACACTGGGATGATGAGATGACTAGGTGATCTTGGCCACTATATGAAATTTGCTGGAGCTACTGGTTTTGTTAATTTGTATTTGGGTGAGATAAGGATCAGAGCTATTTGATAACTGTACTTTAATAAGTCCTTGGGAGACAAAATGGAACAGAAAACTTACTTTCTATGCAAGTTCCCTGTATATTATCCCATCATCTACTGCGAATATCCATTTTTCATTACTGAAAGTGGACTGAGATGTATTGGAACCCGAGACTTCAGACTAATATCATCCAGTGTTCAATTCTAACTATAGCATTCAAAATCCGCTTGCCCATGACTTTCCAGCCCTTGAAAATCAAAGGAACGTTTACAATAAAGATGATTGGGAGATTAACAGTTTTTCAGGAATTTGCAGCAGCAAACATATATTTCTATCTCGCAACTGATATCGCTCTGCAAAAACCAATGGGGTTATTTTTCGCTCACGGATAAACACTTTCCACTTTCCGCCGCCTTAAACTTTAACCGTCATTTTCAGCCCCCAACATTAAGCAAGCAACCCAAAATAACCACAATTATCAAAAGCAGCATTAGATCACCCAAAAATCCTCCTACCCACCCTTGAACATACGATACCGAACCCGACGACATCTCCTTTTTACCCCATCAAATGAGCCCAATTCCTCGCTCACAGGAGGAGATTACATGCACTTACCAGCCAATTCGAATTTCCGAAATCCCTGGACCCTCTTTCCCGCTGATTCCCGCTCGTCTGCACAGCGCCTTCCGCAGTCATACTTCATCGGAGAACATAGCGTGACCTGTCAGTCGGAAAATAAGGTGTAGATCCAACGGGTCTTTGACGCACCGGGAAACAGACGTCAGATTCGACACGTGGACTGTGGGCCACGGTTCGCTTTAGGGCTGTTATCTTACAGTCAGAACAGACGCGGCACGGCCTGGTCTGAGAAGCATGGACACGGATCTGCATGTTCGATTAGATCGGCGCTCTGGAGACAGTCGAAATGGAAATTTTGATGCATCGATCTCTTACACCGCGAGGTCGGGAGTCGACTCGAGATCAATTTCTTTTGCGTCAGACTCAAATTTCGTGAGTGGCAATGATAATGCCGGCTTTAGGGCATCAGGGGCGGATGTACGGGTTTCGAATCAGGAACTGTCTTCCTCGCAATCATTCCGAAATTCCCATGATAGTCTGAGTCCTGATGCGAATCATCCAGATGTGGAGGGGGGAGATGATGATCAGAAGCAGGGACAGAAGAAAGTTAAAGCTCCAAGATTGTATCATAAGAAATCAAGGAATGGGTGTCAAAGATGTAAGGCAAGACGTGTCAAAGTATGTTTATCTTTTTTATCGATTGGCTTCTCGTACGATTGAATATTGATATTGGTCCTGTGCCAAGGTATTGTAATCTTATGTTCGCTTGTACCTGAGTACTACTTGACTCGGCATATGTACGACGAACGATTCAATGTTTTTAACGTTTTGATATTAATTGTCATAATTCGATTTAAAGTTTCGTTTTACAAAAGGTACAGAGATAGTTCTCTGCTTAGGAATTTCCCTTCAACCTTCTTCCATCATAGGGTTACCTTTGCATGTACGTAGCTGAAAGTCCTTTTTTGCGCCTGGCGATCTCGACATACAAGCGTATTCACTAGATCTCTACATCTGAGTCATTCATTGCAAATACTTTGCCATCGCGGGTCCTCGCTAATCAGAATGCAGTGCGATGAAACCAGGCCTATCTGTAATAATTGTATAAGGCATAGGTTAGGATGCGTCTATACAAAACCACCGCCACCACCACCCCCAGCGGCATCATCACCCCAGACCATCAAATCTAATTCCAGTAACCCTTCAACACCAGAACACAACAGCATACACGCCCTAGCTGAAGATCTCAGTAGCGCATCAGTTTCACCCCAAGTAGACCTTTCCATACCACCAGCCCCAAGCCAAGCTTTCAGCGATGACCTTCCTGAGTCTAGTGCTCGTCGGATGCTTGAATTACGATTACTTCAAACTTACATAATTCACACATCGCCTACATTCCCCAGTTGTCATAACCCTGAGACCTTGAATCTATGGTCTGTGGTGGTCCCAAAACTCGCTTTCGCATCTCCCAATCTTCTCTACGCCATGTTTGCCATCGCTTCTCTACATCTTCACGTGCTCTCACCAAACGATATGGAGATCCAGCGAGCGCGCCAGCACTACCTTTCCTTAGCATTACGACATCATCAAAAAGGAGTCGCGAGCTTGAATCCCAGCACTGCCGATGCAGTAATGTTTGCCTCGATTCTAATTCTCAACGACGCATTTTCCAGTTTACAAGTTCGTTGCATGAAACCATACACGCTGCCTACGCATTGGTTACAAATGGCCCGAGGGACCGCTTCTGTATTTGCCGTTGCATTAGGCCTAATAAGACATGATCCAAACGCCAAAGCAATGGCACTCCTACGCACCAAGCCCGCGCTCACCAAACCAGAAGAACGACTCAACCGCCCCGAAATCCACCCTCTCTTCAACGCAATACTCACATATCCCTCCCCTCACATCTCAATCTCTCCTCAAACTTACTCTGAAAACGGGGGATATGACCCCTCAATTCCTCCTACGCATCTAACAGCCTACTTACAAACCCTCTCCTACCTCTCCTCCATCCACCTCAACATCATGCAGCACGAACACCCCATGGCAACCGCCCGCCGCTTCACAGCCTTCGGACTGCAAGTCCCGAAACTTTTTATAGATTTGGTGGAGGAGAGACAACCGCGTGCACTAGTAATTTTTGCATACTACTTTGCGATGGCAACGTGTTTAGTAGAGGGTGGGGGCCCGAGTGACAGTATCACATTGCAGATGAGAAATGGGGAGGATTTGGACTTGGGAAAGACTTTTTGGTGGATGGGAGCGATGGTGCGGAGGGAGATTGGGGGGATCAGTGGAATTTTACCGGGCGGCTGGGAGGGATTGATGAGTTGGCCCAGGAGGGTCGCGGGGTTGGAGTAGTGGGCTGAAAATGATTGAATTGAGGAGGGGCTTTGGGGAGCATGCGATGTTTGGATGTTTATAGTATGTTAGGGAGGGGTTACTGTTTTTGGCGTAAAAGTGTGGAGCGCATACAGTACATATATTTATGCGGGTAACGGTAGGGAGGGATGGTTATTGACACCTGTAATTTTAGCATGTATCTCTTAAGACTCGTTTTGAGTATTATACCCTATGGTACAGTCACCGTGCACTTCTATTAGCCGAAACTCCACAAAACGCGTTTTTTCATGTATTATACTTCTACAATCACATTTTATTATTTTAATTATACTTTCAATTTATAATATATAATGTATTGAAGATATGCAAAATAATCCTTATAAGTATCTTATTTCATATATATACAGCAAAATAGTTAATAAAATAAAGGAAGGCTTTAATTCCTATTGAATTATAAAGAATCTTGGATTCTTTTATAGAATTATATAATATATCCTTTTATAAGATTTAATATACAATAATAATATATACTTATTATATACTAATTAATCTAAATTATATAATGAATAAAATGAATAAATACTATTATAATATATATAACTGTTTTTGAAAACTATATATAAATAGATTATTCAAAAGGTTAAATTTGATTATAATATTAAAACTATTAAGAGGATTTTAATCAAATATAGTATAATTAATTAAAGATATAAAAAAAGATTAGAGCTTATACTAATATATATTATTAAATAATTTAAATAATATTTAATTTATAAAAAATTAATAATTAAAGAATAGGGTTTAATTATATAATCAAATGAGTATTTTGTAAAGTAAAGAAGAAAAAAAGATTAAAATAGTATTTCTATATTAATTTTTAGAAATAGAATTCAGAAATAATTGAAATATATAATATAAATAAGAATATAAAGATTATATATTAAAAAAGCTTTTGGTATATTGAAAAAAGTAATCTATATATAATAAATAGGGATTTTGAGAATACAAAATATAAATATAATATTAAATCTTATTTCAAGGTTTTTGAAATTGAAGTAGATTCTATTTTCAACAAGTTCAATTTAGAATATAAATTTATATAGAATAATATTTTTATTTATTATATTTATAAGATATAAGATTGATTTCAAAAAAAAAGATTTTTTTATTAAAGAATTAGCCTTCTTATTCCTTTGATTTTAATTTTATAAAATATATATAATAGACTTTAAAGATAAGAATATATAAAATATTTTCTAATATTATTATTAATAAAAGTAAATCAGACTATATTTATTAAAAACTAAAGAATTGTTTATAAATAACTTGGAATATATTAAATAAAGAATTATTTAATAATTTAAAAGTTAATATATCTTTTAGAATTAAGATTTATATTATAATAAATAACTAATATATTAAATATTAATAAATTGAAAATCAATAATAGAATAATTTTTATATATATTAATAATATAAGAATATATTATTTATTTATTCAAATTTAATAATTTTATAATTCTTGATTGATTTAATATTTAATATTGAAAAAAGGTGGTGTAATATGTGATACCATAAAATAAGCGGGGGGGCGGATATAAGTGGCCTAGTACTGTAGCTAGTACAATCTTGACTATAAAAACGTACATAACAATCCAATCTAGTGTGAGTGAGACATAATGTGGTTAGATCATCACCCACGTTGGAAACATCTCATATCAGAACATCTCTAGTGTGGTGGGAAAATCTCATTTCCTATATTATTTTCTGCTTTGTGATGTTAAATAAAGATTTGTGGATATTATTATTTTAACGGCAATGTAGACTTTATGTAGCCTTTCGCATCTCCTCGAGTTGATGTTCCAATCCGTGGCATTCATTTCTGTCAGCAGATACAAAGCAACCGCGGCCTAGTTCAGACAGCTGAGAATGGCATGTTCATAGTTTTGATCATCAAAAACGAGCTGAAGCTCCTTGAAAAATGTGGCTCTTATTTCGTTCCCTCATGAGTATCATCACATATCTTAGCCGCAACCCGCTTTTATAACAACTCAATCCAGATCCGGCACAGGTAAATGATCTAACAACTTTACTTTCATTCCCAAATCCTTCAAAGCCTTCAAGGCATTCCGATCTCTCAACTCTTCCGTCTCTTTTTCACTCACTAAAACAAAATCATGTTTCAAGACTTTTGATCCTTCGGGAACTGAATACTTCTTTGCAATCTCAGCGGTTGCGGGTTCGAAGTCTACGATTAGTGATTGTTTTACTCCGAATACTGCGTCTGATGATTCGTAAGGATCGCCTCGGAGATACAATGCGCTATTTTCTTTGTGTTAATATGAATTATGAAGTCGATTACTTAGTGTGGAAAAACGAACGTTATAAGATGATCCCAGCCAGGCTTCTCAAACATAAAGTGCATATGAGCCGGTCTCCACGGATGTCTCTTCAACAATTTCAAAAGCTGGCCCACAGGCCCATCATGCGGAATGGGATAGGGAACAGGCACGATAGCCTTGAACCAGAATTCTCCATTGGAATCACTTTTCATCACGCATCTTCCATCGGGCCCGTCTCGGATGTCGTGCTGGACATCGTAGTGGCCTGTGGAATCTGTCTCCCAGATGTCGATTTTGACATCTGGAATAGGGGTTCCCGAGACGTCTTTGATGGTGCAGAGAACGATGCATGGGTCGCCTTGGGGATCGGAACACATCTTATCGCCTGATGCCATTACCTCTGCATCGTGGGTGTGGAAGGGACCGAGAACGCTTCCTTCGGTTGAAGAGGAGGGTTTGGGGTGGTCGATTGCGTCGACTAGGAGAGATAGCCCGAGGATATCTGATAGAAGGATGAATTCCTATTTGCTTCATTAATTGTATTCTCCCAACTGAATTGTGGGATGGAAATGATGTACATACATGTCTAACATCACTAGATATTTGACCAACCCTCACCAAGAAATCTAATGCAGCCATCCATTCTTTAGTACTCAGACGTGTTTCACGGGCAAAATCATGGAGATGTGTAACAAGTCTTTCCATAACATATGTGAGACGTTCATCGCTTCCTTGAGAATTTATTCGGACAGTGTTTTCGGTGATGTTGTCGATGGTAAGATCTTTCATGGGGGGAATTTTAATTTGTGAGGGATCCATGATGAGAGAGATGTATGGACGGTTTATATGTTGTAATAATGCGGTAATACTATACTCGTATGGGAGTGGAATAAAGTATCTCGCACAGAGAGGGACTGAAGCTTTGATTGAGTGCGGGGGTTGATGAGCTTCAAGTTGTAAATTGCGTTTCCTATATAAAATGAAGTGATGATATTGAAACTATTCGAGTATTGTAGAACTCCCAATCCCTTTTTATGTACTCAATATCTCTCGAAAAAGCATTCATAAGCTCAAAATAATGGTTAACAAATCCTTTATAAGTAATTACAAACAAACACTAGCTAGCACTCACGTCCCTTTTCGTCCCACGCACCCCTCAAAAACGCGGCAATCATAATCGGACACATCCCCTCCCTTCCTTAGATCTTTCGGATCCCCACCACATACCGTGCTCAAATCCCTAGTGTTGCGGGGAGCTATATAGAAATTCGATTTCAGCCAACCAAACCCCTTCTTTTTCATGACTTCTACCCCACGCGAAAATTACTGCAAGTAATCTTAACCCTTACTGTCGTATCTTTTCCCGATAATAATTATATCAACCTGCATGGTATAGAGGATGATATATGATACCAAATATCGAAAACAGATATGAATAAGAGAAACGAACCATCAGGCGACGAAATCGCAAACGTCGTGTTAAAACAATTTGACCAATTGCCCACGAAGAGAAAACCGTTGAACAGGGGAGAAGGGGTTCGGGAATGGATACCTTTGAGTGGGATTGTTGCTTCTGGTAGGTAAACTTTTGAGGCAGGTTCTTCTTGTGTTGATTAGAGATCTGGTCATTGAATATTTCTGTCAATGCGATGTTGTATTGGTATGGTAAGGCTGATTCGAGGTAGGTGAGAATGGATTGATTTGTTTGGCTCTTGCGTGAGTTTTCAATGAAAATTTTAATGGAACTTTTTCCTCAATCTTTTATACATAGAGATGAATGCAATGAGAGATTTTTTGTAGAACGTGGAGTCACGTTTTGATTCAATCAACAGCTTCGTCTTCTGTTTTATGAATATCATCACATCACTTTCTTCCATGACTTCTATTCCTAACACCACCCCATTTCAGAACCGGCATGAAATGTCTTTCGCAATCCAAACTTTCCCAAGCACAAGGTAACGTGCTCCACGACTGGCACGCCGAGATTCTCTGTCTACGCACCCTCAACCATTTCTTCCTACAGGAAATTCTCGCCCTCCGTTCTACCCCTTCAATTCCCTCCCAATACCTCCAACAACGCTCTCCCGAAACTATCACCCATAATTCCTTCCAACCTTTCGAGCTAAAACCCCACATCAAACTCTACATGTATTGTTCCGAAGCGCCCTGCGGCGACGCAAGCATGGAACTCACAATGGCATCTCAAGACGATCCAACGCCGTGGGACTTACCACCAACTAGTACCTCATCCTCAGACAACAAACCCGAACTCCCAGGCCGAGCCAACTTCCAACTTCTCGGACGCGTACGACGCAAACCATCGCGTCCAGACGCACCCCCCACGCTCTCGAAATCTTGTTCTGACAAACTAGCTGCATCTCAATACACATCTATTCTCTCCTCTCTCACGTCCCTCTTTATCTCTCCTCAAAACATGTATCTACATTCTCTCATCCTCCCAGACACGCAATATAACGAAACAGGCTTTGTACGATGTTTCCAGACTCGTTTATCCACGCTACGAAATAGAGAGCATGGAGTAAGAGAGAGTGGGTATGGGTTTCACGAAATTGGTATCAAAACCACAGGGAAAGAATTTGTATATTCTCGACGATCAGAAACTCACAATGCAAAAACAGAATATGTGAGTAGCAATATATCCACCTCGTGGGTGCGTGGCGATGGGAAAACAGGCGGGGAAACGCTTGTAAATGGAGCGTTGCAGGGAAGAAAACAATTTGATGTGAAAGGTGCGAGTAGGGTTTGTAGAAGAAGAGGATGGAAGTTGGGACTTGAAGTTTTGGGTGCGATTACGGGAATGCAGATTGGTGGGAAGGAGATTGTGGAGATGATTGGCAGGGGTTTGGAGGTGGTGGAATATAAGAATTTGAAAGAGAGTGACATATTGAGAGAGAGGAGGAGGGCTAAGGAAGAAGTGAGGGAGTGTTTGGGTGGATGGGTGAGGAATGAGGGGGATGAGGGGTTTGGAGTTTAGATATCAAAACATTAAAAACGATGAACATGTTGCAATTAAATCTATCAGTTCACCTATATGACTATCATCTTAATATTTATATTTACCATCCTGATGTTGACTGTATTGAAGTAATTCAAAATAGTACGTGAACTCCGCCTGGGTATATACACCATCATGTCCTGAAGTCCAAAGCCTTCAAACGCCCAGCCAGTACGTGTTTTAGTATTTCCTACTTCGCCCTTCAATGCAGATATGCAGATATGCTAAAACTCCTTGAAAACAATATCCATCCTATACGCCTGGAGAGAAGCCACGAGCGGAGGTATAGTAGAGTAATGAAACAAGTGCAAATCAAGTTTTAGAAAAGCTGCTCGACCGTGTTCTCAGCATTGTAATCCTTAGTAGCTTCTCTCGTTTCTGCATCCTCGATAATAGATGCCTCTTGTTTACTCAACCTGGCGAGTTCCTCCGTCAACGTCTTTGTTGAATAAGCGTATTGCTCTGCGTGGTTGCCACGCCAGCCATAGTGTTTGCATTTCTTAAGGGGCTTAATACACAGATTCTTCAGTTCGTCAGGGATATCTCCCGTATCCGGAATGACCTGACCAGGATATGGAGTAGTTTCGCCAAGATGCTTTGTTTCCTCAGTACGAGGACCAAGAATACCAGTAGCGAGATAACCTTTACCCTCCTCGCTTGCACACCAAGCACCAAACTCATACTCATTGAGAGCAAGACGATTATCGTACCCGCAAATCTCCTTGACCTCGACATCTGGATGTTCTTGTGCGATTTTAGCACGTCGGTTCATCATAATCAAAAGCTTTTGAGCCATTTTGAAACCTTCAATCCGTTGTTCAATGACCGTGCGTCCAGCCTTGATCTTGTTTATAGTAGATTCTTCTTCTGGAAGCAGATAGTTGAGACCTAGTGGTTGACTTGGGTCATGTCCTTCAGGTATTGGCAACTTCGGCCTTGAGCCAAGCGCATGGAAATCAGCTGCTGTCTTACATGAAGTCAACAGCGCTCCAAATTCTTCCTCATTCAATGCACCACCTATAGTACGTTTTTTATTAGAGCGCAACTTTGCGGCAACAAATTCCCAAAAAGCAGTTGCGTGCTCGTCGCTGCAATACTTGCTAGGTGGCTCGTCCATAACACGAGCAGCCTTCCGACACCCATCAACGTTATGGTATCTGCAAATTCGCTTCCATGTGGTGAATTCGGTTTCGGAGCTGCAATTTGGACAAATAAACCGATCGAGCAAATTTTTCGCGTCCTCGACATCAACATCGATACATGAGCAATGGTACCAGTCCTGGCAACCTCCATCACAAAATATCATCATACGGTGATCATCAGGACCGCGACATATACAGTATTCACCACCATCGTTGCTGCCATCATCGTCGGACGGGCCACTTCTTCCCCCAGGAGTGGCGCTATTACGTTGCGATCTAGCATCTGTAGGACCTGTGCAAATGTATTAGTTAGTATGTATAAGTGTCATGCTTGTACTTGCGCTGGTGGGGAGTGTACCTTCGGGCTTGGCTGCTTTGGTTTGGAACCTCTTGAAAGGAGCGACGGTGCTCTTCTTCTTTAGCATTGGTCCCTTCTCCGACTTTATTTGTGATGGTACAGGACTGCCATGCTTAGGAGCGGATGGCCCAGGTGATCCTTGACTAGAGGACGGCAGTGCTTTTCGAGCCCGGCCTTCACTCTTGATCTGTTCGGAGATACTTAATGGTATTCTATCATTGAAACTTGGCGTACCGTCTCTTGAGCTTGTAGATGGAGCTTTTGGTATTCGGGGCGGTGGCTTGGGCTTTGGCGTTCTTTTAGGAGGAGGTGCTATGCCAGCAGCCAAATCTGCCGCGGCCTCCGCTTCCTTCTCATCTCTTTCCTTCAAGATTCTGAGTGCCAATTGATAAGTTTCACCGGTCAGTCTGATCTTCCTGGATTCAGACGCATTCTTTTTGGCTCTGTTGTAAAATCGAGAATCTGCGGCAACGTAGATCTTATTCCATCTATCGTCATCTACACCGGGAGGTGTGGGCTTCGCCTCAGGATATTTATATCTGTAACCAGGAGCGTTGTTTGATATTTTGGATTTGGTAGCAGAAGGTTTGGGTTTGGGGGGTTCTGGAGCTGCCGTTTGGGCTTCTGCTTGCTCCTCTGTTTGTTCATCAACCAAATCTTCAGCAACTGAAGCATCGTTTGAGGCTTCAGCCAGTTCCTCAACTGGAATCTTGTTTGGAATTCCAGTATCCATTAACTATAAAAGATGTCAATTCAAGCAGGGACATTTGGTACAAATCTGAAGGTCAACACCGCGCAAGGCTCCACCAAGAGAGCTTGGGTTTAAAGAAAACAATGGCTTACCTCGACTTCACCAACAACCTGAGGCGTCTCAATACGAGAATCAATATCCATTGAATCCATGATTATCTGTCCTTGATGCCTTCTTTGGTCTATGATTAATAGTTTCGACTTCGCACTGATAATTGAAGTAGCATTGGAGCAATCGGTAAGATAAAATGCGATCCAAGGCTGACTGACAAAGCTCAGACCATCTTTCATGCGGTTGTATCAGCCTTGTCTATGATATCACATGGGAACTAGATGCCTTTTCATGTGGCATGATGTTCAACAACAGAACCCAGACTTCATCTCCTCTCGACCACACTGGATAATTGTGCCATATATGGTAGCATGTATAAGCCTACAGGACTACAATTGAGACAAGTGGTATACTACATCACATTATTTCAACCCTACAAGGAAAGTGGTCAAATGAGCAAGCCATGATCAGATATTCCTTCGGATCATTTCTATCACCTTG